CAGCTTGGTTTACACTTCCTGCTCTTCCTTCCTGTAACCAGTGAGCCAATAAGAGAATTGGTTTTGCTCTTGAAGTTTCCAGATCTCCCTTTTTTTCCTAGATTGGATTGTGCCCAGGGTGGACTGAATATTCAGTGGATTTGGGAACCCAGAATCTAAAGCATCTCTGTGGAGTACTGTATGCAGTAGTACACTGGTTTTGTTTTCAGAAGATTAGCAGTTGGCCAGCTATAGATTACGCTGTAGATACCAGAAGGCACCTGCTTGACACAAATGATACTTGCCAGATTTCAGTTTGCAAAGCCAAACAATGAGAGGGCATGAGGCAAATCCAAAGAGACAGTCACCAGAGATCTTTAACAAGGGAAAAATAAGATAGTTCCCCTTGCCTATTTTTCAAAAAATACCTGAACAGTCTTGGCTGACATTTTGCAAAAGCAGACATCAAAAGCAGACACCACACATGAAATAACTTAGTCCAAAACCTTAAAATATTAACTAAGTTGTAAGCAGCTGACTCTCTTCTACAGTGGAAGGCACAGAGCAATCTCAAAAATAAGCAGCACTACTGGCTGACCAGGGTGATAGTGAACTGCAAACAAGACAGGTGTTTGTGAAATACAGACTCGCAACCCAAGATATTCCTGTAGGGCAAGGGCAATTTCACCTCTCATAACAGCAAATGGAATTCCTGTTATGACTAACACAGTGTGCTGAGCCCAAGGAACATGACATGGGGTATGGATATGCTGTTTGCACAGTAATTTGGCTCACTCTAACCATTCTGTAACATGGATGGGTCTTGAGCCTTGCCTACAGCAGGACTTGAGCCACTGGTATAAACCGCATCTGGAGGATTGTCCTGGCATACAGTTTCACCCTTTGGGGAAAATTGCCAGTAGGAAAGGCTTTTGATATTGTTGTTCAAAATCTCCATGCTAACACTCGTACATCTTACTTCCAGACTTGGTTCTTGGCTCAGCCAAAATTAGAAGCCAAAAGTTTGGGCCAAGTTGAGCTATTTGCATAGTCTGCAGAGGTATTCACACAGAAGAGGTTTCTCTGGTAAGAACATTAACTGACAGCGCTTTCACATGAACTTCATTTTGAGGGCTCAGAGAACAGCTATAAAAGTGAGGAAAGCTGAAAAATATGGTGACTTTTAGTAAGAGACTCCAGGCACTTCTTTATTCAGGCTGTTAAAGAGAAGATGGAATGACTTGATCAGAGTTGCAGATGCAGTGCAACACGGAAATGCAAACTTTTTAAGGTAGTAGAAGTGTGCCTAGTAATTGCTCCAATGGCTAATAACTGCAGCTAAACAAAAAAAAAAAAAAAAAAAAAGCTTGCATGTGACTTGACATAATCCTTATTTATTTTACCCTTTGGGCGAAAAGGGCTGTTGTAGATCCTTTCTCACTGGCACCTGTCAAGCCTAGCTGTCTTCCTGGAAGATACTCTGGAATTCAAAATTAATTCAGGGAGTAACGAAGTAAAACTCAAAACCCTCAACTGCGAGGATTTTAGTTACAACTTCCCACCATTGCTAACCACAGCTACAGGTAAAGATTAAAGGTGTAGATGTATTTAGGCTCTACAGGTGCTTTAATATTTGTTTTGTCTAACCTTGTGCTGAGCAGGTCTACACAAATTAGTTCTAACAATACAGTTAACTGCTGGTAGCAGATCTGTACAGCACCTCTCAAATTGTTGCAAGTAATGGAAATGGCTGGCATAGATTGAGTCAAAAAATAAAAACTCACACATCAAGGCTTAACACTCCTCTTATGAAGAAGTCAGTCGAACTTCCTATTTTCTTGCTTAAACATCAGCAGTCAGCTGGAAAGTGTGATGGACAAGGCCCTTTCATAGAAGCCAATACCATTAACCTTCTCCCCCGTCTATAGCACATTTCACCCAATAGTTTCAAAATGGCTTATTTTACAGCAGACAGGGACTCTTCCGTCACCACACGACATAAATGGGTTTAAAAATTAGTAGTAACTTACTGCTTAAGCTGACACAATAAATCAGCTGCCAAATTGAGACTGATAACCAAGTATGATGGATAACCATCGTATGCTGAGGGGAAGCAGGGCGCCCTGCATTCTGAGCTGGAGAGATGTAGCCACTAGATGCTATATTCAATGACGACAAGACCTGCAGGCAATGGGTGATCATAGGTTGCATCTGCAAGTAAAGGGCACCCGTCTAATTGCTGCTAGAGATGGTGCCTTGCAGGTTCAAGCCGTTTTGGTATCAAGAAAGCAGGAGACACTGAATAAACCTCTTGATTGGGCCTCCAATTTGCATCAGCCCTGCTCCTCACAAGGATTCACTGGGGGCCTATTATGAGGCAAGAAGGAGGGTGATGAGGTGTTTGATGTTGTAAACAAACACTTCCAGCCAGAGATGCACATGTCTGTTTAGGAAAACATGTTTTCAAAACAATTCTCCCCTGACTGAATTAGGTAGGAAGTACAAGGTTTCCGTGTCTCTTCCATTTCTGAAAGCCAAATTACTAACGGCGTCGATATTTGCATTGAATCACAGTCCATTAAGATCATTTCGGTCCACCAAGAAGTGAAAGCACGCACCTTTAAATATTTATAAGGGAGATACTCCCTCCAGGTTAATTTCCCGCAGCCGCTTGCAGTGCTGGCTCTCCAAATGGCCAGCTCCTCCAGCAGAACTGTTTCCTGCACATCCATCTGCTCGCTTCGTTCGGATAAACATGCGTCTGTCCTGCTAGCCACACGGTACTGACTTCTCTCTGCCACGCACACTGTTAGTGGGGATGCCCTGCCGAATCTTCACTGCAAGTGTGAGTCACAGAAAGAGCCCAGCTGGGTATCTCGAAGCCCATTTGAGTTTATGAATTAGCAGGATGTGGGAGACTTTGTCTTTTCTTCTAAACCAATCCACAAAGGAAGTCCAATATGGAATTACTGAGTTAATAGATATGAATAGACCGCCTGTCGTTTTTCAGAGAGTTATTTCTATGACTCTAACTGGAAATTCCAAGTCATAAATGAGAGTCTGAAATCCACCCCACTAGTTGCTCTGAAAGGCAGTTTCACAGAACCTGAAAGGCTGGATCAGATTGGCAGCATGCTGTACTTGCTACTGGTCAGCAGATAAACAAAGTAATCCAGTTTCCAGGGCTGTGAAGCCAGCAGTAAATTTACACAGCCATCTTTTTAACAGCCTTGAAAAATAAGAGAAAACAAGGCAGAGGCATTTCAAGCTCCATCAGAAACAGAGGGAGAAAAAATAATCCATGTTTGACAAATAGGAAGGGACAAATTCTGAACAAGGAAATGCTGCTAAGCTTTTAGAAACATACTTGTTTTTTAACTGGCAATCAAACAGCAAGCTACCAGATGCCTTTGAGATACCTATGCACTTTAATGGCAGGAGCTCTTAAAATATATCGAGAGTCCATCATTAAAGCAAATGGAACAAAGCTCTTGTTAGCAATTACTGCATCACTCAACCAAAAGCACCAGCGGTGAGACTAGTTTTGCAGTCCTTGCTCAGCACATCTGCACCAGCAGTTCTCTACTGGTAAAAGCCTGTTCATGATTGTTCCCGGTTAGCTATTTAAGCTTTAAACATGGACTTGGGTTAGCAATGCATTCTGTCCATGTTAACTGATCACAGACTTGGACTAATTTACATTGCAGAGAATTTTTGGAGGTCATCTAGCCAGCCTTCTGCTCACCAAATGTAAAGTGAGATACAGAGAGGGTGCAGGGGAAAGGGATCGAGAACTATGTCGCATTCCTGACCCAGCATCATATCCTCTCAGCTGCAGGCCACAGTTACCATGCAAAAAAATGAAGTCTGGCTGTTCATTGGTGACACCTGAACTGTGATGACTTGGCTTTCCAGGAGCAGCAAGTCTCCTCCTTGCCAGAGACACTGAGTAACACCACCTGCCATGGGAAATTTCTCTCCATGCCCTGGCACTTAACAGTGCCAGCCTCCGAACTGATCGTTGCGGTGGCATCCTGCCTTCCTTCCCCAAAAAGTGACATTCCCAAAGTTTTCTTGGGTTGCAGCCCCAGATGGGTTTGTAGACAGCACACCTTTCATTTCCCCAAAGACTGTGACCACACCATGTCCTATTCTTGTTAGCATGCCCTAATGAAGTTTAGCCTGCCAGAGTAAGCACTAAAGTGAGCCATGAGCAGAGCTGTAAAAGCAAGCCTCAAGGATCTCTCCGTTTTTCTTCTTATTTCACTCCTAGTTGTGAGAAGCCCACTCTGGGGATTTTCGTCAGCTCCTTCACATTTACACAACAGTTGTCCTTCAGCACACAGTCCTCAGCATGCTGTTTCTTCCCTGTGTTTACCTTTTCCTTTAGGAATTCAGCAGAACTGACCTCTCGGGATGAACCTGGGTTGCAACACCTTGCAGAAAGCTCACAGCGTAGCACATTTCTTCCCTGTGCTACAGCTCCAGTTATCTCTGGTTTGCTAAGCAGCACATTCCAACAGAACAGAGACCCTTCTTGTTTCCTTTAACAAAATGCCTTACAGGACCTCCTGGGTAAAAGGCAGTTACATATTATTTGTAAATCTAACAGCCTTGGATTAAGCCAGATGCAAAATCTGATCCAATTTAGTCCCTTTTTATCTTGTCAGGTAACTCTTTGGCTGCCTTTTTGTACTTCTCTCAGCTCTAGCCCTCAGTTTGTGAAGTGATTTTACTACAAAGTCAGTCCCCACCATGAGGCTGTGCAGTGTTCGGGCTTTGCAGGGGGACATTTGTTTTCTCTCTCTCTCCCCCTGCCCACTTCCTGCTCACCCCCCTGCCCGGAGCAAACACAATCCCTTTGCAAGGCCAAAAATAGAAGCACCGGTATTTAAATGGCGAACAATCGGGTTTGGCAAACAATCCATCTGACTGCACCCTTTCTGAATCACGGGGCTGAGTCACTTCCCTCACCTAAGCTGCTCTCTTCCCCTGTGCAGATTGCAGGAGCAGGGAGAAATATGGCACTAATGTTCTCCCGTCCGTCTGTTGTCTGTCTGTCTTTCTCCCCATCATCCCCATCCCCTGCAGCCTGCTTGCTCCAGGCCGAGCTGGTGAACTACGAGCGGGTCAAGGAGTACTGCCTCAAAGTGCTTCAGAAAGAAGGCGAGAACTTCAAGGCTCTCTATCGATCGGGAGTGGCGTTCTACCACCTGGGTGACTTCAACAAGGCCCTTTACTACCTGAAAGAGGCACGATCCCGCCAGCCGACAGGTACGAGATGGGAGCGGGCACGTGGCTTTGCACTGTGAGCACTTTTGCATTTCTTTTCACGAGACTTAGTCAGTTCCTGACTTGACTGCATTGGTTTCCACAGGGATGAGCATGACTCACTGCATCCTTAGCTGTACTCCCCTTCGAGCACTCTCGGGTAGTGCAGCAAGGCTGCAGTGCCCAAAGAATAATGACTGCCGAGGCTGCAGCAAAGCCTGGAAGATGACAGCATTGCTGGAATGCAGTCTTTGTTGAGGGGATCTTGCCTCTCTTTATTTGAAGAAGAAACCAGGATGGGGAAGAATGTATCCCCACCACTAAATTTTCTGACTCCTTGAGAAAAAGGTTTTTCCACTGAGCAAAGCCAGGAGACTATTTGTAATCCTCAAAAGCCATCTCAATAAAAAGTTAGTATTCCACTTTGATCAAAGAAACAGACATTTACTCACAAAGCATTCATCAGGACGCTTCAACTTTTGCCATGAGATCAGCCACGCGCCTGTTCAGGTATCTTTCATCCACATGTCAAAACCCAACAATTCATTTTGGGACAGCAAAGAAATTAGATATTCAAACAACTTTGCCTTGCCAGAGCAACCACCTTTATGCTAATCCCCCCAATCTCAGAAGGCAGATAGGAGGCCATGATGCAGACATGGTGCTTTTATTTTCCAAATAGTAATAGGGAGATAAAAGACACACTATGGTTTAAACCATTTCTGTTAAAAGAAATGAATGTTTTCAATACTCAAAGAAAAGCTAAAGGATCACAAGAAAGCATACTGGAAGCCACATGCAAAAAAAAACCCCAGAGAGAAGCTTTTCCACCTGAACATGACGTGTGGAAGGGAGTGAGCCTGGGTGCTGGCAGAGCGTGATGGAGTTGCTGTTCATTGAACTAGAGGAGGCCAGGGAGGGTGTTGGAGGTGGCTGTGACTGATGTCCTAAAGGTGCTGGCCCTGGCTGTGCCTTGTGGGAGCACTGGGGAGGGTGGACTTAGGGGTGCACGAGGGCTTCCTTCCTCTTCCTCGTCCCATATGGGTGCCTGGTCCCATCTGCTGTGCTTGGCCGTGGGCTCCAGGCGGTCTGACAGTACAGCTGTGCACCCTGCACTCCCTGAGCAAATGTGCTTAAAAGCTCAGTTTAGCCTATTTTAGCTTAGAGTGTGCCCTTCTGCTTTCAGCCCTTGCCAGAACCAAGAAATACAGAAGCCTGTGCAAGAAAAAATACTGAGTGGAAAATAAGAAGCTATCCTAACCTTGAGGTTCTGACCAGGCTCAAATGTGAAAAAGTCCTTTCAGCTGAACCACTTTGCTTCCATTTTTTTAAAATATGTATTTCCATGCTCCCCTTCCCCCTGTGGTACTATACTATTTATTTGGTATCTCTCTTTGCTTCTTGAAATAAATACTAATTTATTCAACAGCAACAGCTTCAAATACCACAGCTTGCTGCAGAAACATACCAGAGAGTGTTCCCAAAGGCCCTTAATGTATACAAAGAACAGTTCTGGCCTTCAGCTCTGTATCAGAGACTCTTCCCTGTTATTGTTAGACCATTCAAGGCCATTGTTCCACTGTTTTATTTATGATTATGGAAAGCTTCAGGGGTGTATACGGGAAAGAATGGCATACATACAGTAAGAAAGGATGTGGCTGTTAAAACACAGCAGTAGGAATCAAGTAACAGTATCAAGAATTGTTATGTCACCTGGAATAAATCAGTGTCTCTATTTTCACCGTCTCCCTCCATAAAATGGAGACACAAAAAAACCCCTGCTTTATCTGAGGTTTCTCTAGGCTCACTGGTAAAAGTGCTTGATTATTATTACAGTCATGTTCTGTGTGTTTGTTTTGTTGGGTTTTTTTTCTCTAATAAGGAATGGGTTTTGGCACAGATAACTGGCACTTATTCTCTTTTGGGGGAAGATTTCAAGTGGTAAAGAGGAATTAACTACCAAAGGGTTTTACTGTTCCAAAGGGCTGTCAGCACAGCAAATCCCTTATGGCTATTTACTGTCTGTCAAGGGTGAAAGTTGGGTTTGCCCTGATTTCTTATGCTACCTCCAAACAGCAACAACAAAAAATAATCACAAAGGCAGGTGGCAATAACACAATTGTATAAGCCTCCTAACTAAGGGAGAGGGAAGCCGCTATTAAGTTGTGCAAAGCATGCAAACAGCTCTCCATGAACTCTGTGTCCAGAGGCTGGTGCAGCATGGGCAGCATGGTCTTACCTTCAAACCTTGCTCAGATCTTTCCTGTTGGTGGATCCACACTGTCAGGGTAGGTACTGACAGGGATTGAGGCTGGACCATCAGCTGGCCTGGTAATACCAAACACCTGCAGTTAGTCTCTACTGAGAGCTCACGTTCGGACATCACCCACACACAAGCCAGATGTCCCGTGCTGTGTGGAGCAGCCTGAGCTCAGGAGCTGCCTTCTGAAGCGCCCACGACTCCCAGAAGTCCTGGGAATAAAACCCAGTGCACGGTGTCTGCACAGCAGATCAGCAACTGGGCTCTAAAGCCACAGGCTGAAGAAGAAATGACCTTTAAAATGGCATGAGGCCACTCGGCACAAGGACACAGTCCTGTGAGCCAGGAGAAACAATCCCACTGCAGCTTTGTATGGGTCTGACTCTTCTGAGTTTTCCTTACCTGTTATTTCCACATCAGCCGAAGGGGGTAGCTTCTTTCTCACTGAGAGATGAGAGTCTCCTCTTCATTAACATTTACACTTTGCTTTGAAATACTTCTGCAGGCAGAGCTAGTATGGTGCAATACTATTTGATGGAAAAGGCTTGACAGAGACAGGTCTCCACTTCTGTAAACAGAGTGCTGCTCTCATTATTTCTCTGTGGTAAAACAGTAGCCCTCAAAAAAGGAAGCAAAACCTGCCTGGGAGATTTATAACTAGCTTGCAATGGGAGTATCTCCCACCCACTCTCAGGCCACAGCTCACTTTGCCCCTGGCTCCCCAGGCATGTGGAAATCTCCCAGGTGAGTGAAGCTGTGTAATAACCATTGGCAGCTGCTCCCTCACCCGCCAGCCAAAGGCACTGGCAACTTTTTGTTGCCCCATTAAGCCCTGAACCCACCTCCTCTCCCTCAGCCAGATCTCTGGCTCCCTGCCCCAGGCCTAGGCAGGCATGAGTACCACATGCAGTTATCACCCATCGCCAGCAAGATCTTCACGGCTGAACCTCGGCAGCAGTGACCTGGTCCCAGCCTGTAGAAGCCCAGAAAGGCACAGAGCAGGGAGAGGGACTCTGGCCAGGCTGCCCGCCCTGCCCTTACCCTGCTGAGAGCGAGTTAACCACCCACCTGCCACAGGCACTAGTTTTATTTTCAGTCTAAAGTTCACAGCTACCCATCTCAACTGAACTGCTTCATTCCCAGAGGCTGCAGGACTGAAACTACTTTTCTGGTTTTAAAACAGCTGCTTTAAAATTTGCCGGGCTGCTGTGAGAAGTGAATGCATGAGCATTCGTGAGCATGCGTGAGTTGCTGCACCTTGTCTAACACGAGCAACAGCAGAACTTCTTAGAATCATAGAATTGTTTAGGTTGGAAAAGACCTTTAAGATCATCAAGTCCAACTGTTAACCCAGCAATGCCAGGTCCACCATTAAACCATGTCCCTGAGCACCACATCTACACGACTTTTAAATACCTCCAGGGATTGTGACCAGCTGGCATCTCACAGCTCTCTACAGGGATGAATCGGTGGTTCTCTGCCCCTAGAGCTTCATTAGACAGGATAGAAAAAGCACTAAGCGGCATGGAGCATATGACAAAAATGCAGATAGTGTCAAGGTGGAAGTACTTCTAAATATGAAATTTAAGGAAAGCAAGAGTACAAAGAGAAAGTGAAGGATGCTCTCCTCAATTCAAGTTATCATGGAAAAATGTGAGAAGAGGGAAATAGGCCACAAAAGGAATAGGAGGTTGAAAATGCCGAGTGTAACTGTACACAAAATGCCCTTAGGGGCTTGCATGCAGGCACTGAGGGAAGGGAAGCCTGTGGAGGTGCTGTTCCACAAGAACAGGCAAGGATGACCTGGATAGTTTCAACTGTGCGAATTCAACTGTGCTGACTGCGAGTAATCAGAGAGAAGGTAAAAACTAGCTGAGGCAAGATTATGAGCAACAGGGGTGGCGAGAACAAATCAGAGCAGGTTTTCCAAAACCAGAGCTGCAGGGTTTGGTTCAGAGCCCTTTCCAGCTGATGATGTTCCTTCCAGCAGTGCTGGAGCCGTGTTGCTCTCCAGGTGATGCACCAGGGATGAAGGTGCAGTGTGTCTGTCTTCCACAGGAAGTTCTAACCACTCCACATGTACGTGTGTGCTCTTTCAAAAATGTCATACGATATATCCAACTGACAGAGATGAAGCTCAGCAGATGTTCCCAGAGAGAGAAAGAAGCCTTGTGAAAATGAAGCCACTTCAGCCGAAGTGCCCAAGGGGGAACATTTCCTTCCTAGAAGCTCATTTGGTGGATTTTCCTGTTTGCTCTGCCTCATCCTCATCTCCTCATCCATCCACTCTCCCTTGCTCTTCATTGAATCCCAGTTTTGAGGAAAAAAAAAAAAGAAAAAGAGAGACTTAGACACTGGATATGGCTGCTTGCCAACCATGGTAATACCCCTTCCCTGTGGCAGGAGAGCACAATGGCTACGGCCAGCCTTGTTCCAAGACAGTTTCACACACCCGGAGTAGGCAATGCCAGGGGACTGTTCTGGTCCTGAGCTGACAGCCTGTTACCTGTTAGGGAAGCAACCCCTGGAACAACAACTTCCTGCCAGGCAAGTTGGAGACAAATAGTTTCTGCTCTTAGTGGTCGCAGGAGCTTGAAAGAGCTAAGAAACCAAGAGAGCCACTGGTCATTTCGCAGGGGATAACAAATGCCTTTTCACCATCAGTTCCCCTTGCCTGCTTCTCCAGTGTGTGTTACCAGTCTCCAGTGAGAGCTCACATGCTCCCAGTCTAATGCCAGTGAAAACTGTTTTGAAACATCCTCTTAATGAAAGCACAGAGCACCCTACGAACCACCCCCCCCCAGAGCTGTCCCAGTGCTGGAGGAGAAGGCTGTGGGCTACCACAGAACGCTGAATGGACTGTGAAAGCGTGGTGTACAGTTTGAGGGAAAAACTGTGAAATATTTCATTAAAGGCAAATAAAAAATATTAATAGGCAACACGTCCAGGCATTGCTTTTCAAAGGGACCTCTTGGGTTCCTCATGTCCAGACAGACAACGTTGTCTAGTGGGGAGCAGCATGGGGTAGGGAATGAGGGACGTCTCCATTCTTATCTTGGCTCTGCCAATGCCTTGCTGTGTGATCTGGGCAAGTCACTTAGCCTCTCTGTGCCTCGGTTTCCCCATCTGTACACTGGGGATGAAATACTTCCCTACCTCGCAGGGGTGTTGTGAGGATGTATTAGTTAATGTTTGTAAGTAACAGTACAGTGATGTACAGTGCTAAGTATTATCAGTACATTGGATTGAGGTCTTGATTCTCCCACATTGTGTTGGTGCTTCCTGTGTCCTGTTTTATTTCTTTTGTAGGAAAACATGGTGCTGACAAACAGGGCAGGACCAACAGCCTTGGAGCCTATTTCAGCAGTCCGTAGGGCCTGTCCAGATGTCCTCCAGCACTTTGATCACTTTTAAGAGCTCGGGTTCCCTAGCTCAAGGGTCCTCTTAGGAAACTGCCAGTAATGGGATGAGTAAGTGCCACAAACACATTTCCAGTGTCACTGCCCCATCAGTGGCCTAGAAGGTCCTGGACCCCTTGCAGGATGTACGTGAGTGGTCTTATCCCATGGTTGTCAGTGTGAAGTGAGTGTACCCAGAGCTGCTTCACTCATGCCTCAGCTGAAACGTGGAAACTGAAACACAGAGAGCTGGACAGACAAAGTTCAGCCACGTGCTGCATGCTTGTGTCCCAGTGGACATGGTGTCTGCAGACAGCTGGCTATGGCATCCCACATTCCAGTTGTGGTGTCTCAGCATGTTTTTCTCTAGCCAAATTTTGAAAGAGTTGATAGCGAAACATCAAGGGAAAAGGCAGATCTCTACCAATGTCTCTGAGAAAACTGAAGTCATATCCTTTAGTTCAGTGAAATATCCAGCCCACATTGGGGGTGGGGAAGAGATCATCTTAAAGTAGCACATAAGTCTTTGAGATAAAAGTGGAACCACATCGGTTGTGTGAAACTTAGATTACCTTGGATGGCACCAGAAGTCCATGTTCCTCAGGTGGGTGGTGGAAAGCAGCTGCTTCCCAAAATTTGGAACACTGTATGCAGCTATTGTGAAGGAAAGGGCTGCATCCTGGAGGCAGTGCAGTCGCCTTCTTCAGATGGCCAATGGTTCATACATCTATGCCAGAAATAGCAAGCAGCTCTGCCCACCACTACGCATGTCTAAGCAGCGAGGCTACAGCTGCTGCTAGGACAACAACTGAGTTAAAGAGGGCAAATGAGGGAAGCTCTGTAGGTGGTTGTTAACCAGACTGGAAAAAAAGGTTAGGCAGAGGTGTGCTTGGGTGCGTGTAGAGTGTACCTGGTACTGTATAAAACATAGAGTTACTAAGATCCTGATTCTGAAGTGCATGCAACATAACAGGCAGAAAATTCAAATAGAGGTGACTTCCCCCTACTTCATATTGCTCTCATGACAGTTCATCCCACAGGTCTGTGTGTCTCTTTACTAGGAATGAAATGAAGATTCATCCTGCAGACCATGCAGGAGGACAGGACACCACCTACATAAACAGTCTCTGCCCCAGGAAAGCTCAGGAAAGCAGAGGAAAGCTTGTTATTCATGACCTTACTATAAGAGAAGGGGCATTTTCCAGTTACTGGAGATGTAGGTCCATGCACTGCCACTTTGGAAACAATTGTAGCCCTTGTGATGGCTTCAGTGACATACTGTCACTGCTTTAGCCCCCTGTATATATTGGTATAAAATGGACACAGCAGACTCCAACGTGCAGTCTCCTCAGTTCTCAGCCTCCTTCCCTCCAGGAGCACTGCAAAGCGTAGGGGAAAGGGGAAAGCTTGTGAACATGCATATGAAAAAGATCTCAGACAGCCTGCAGGTGCTACACAACAACCTACTTTCTGCAGAAAATTGTTGTCTTTCTGTACCCTAACACTCACATTCACAGCAGGAGCTGGAAGAAGGAAGCCACCAAAGAGAAAACCGTCAGGGGCTGCTTTGCTGTGTAGCATCTATATGTATCCACAGTGACACAGAGCATGAGAGAAGCAGCGACAAAATTCCAGGTGGGAACCCTCCACATGTCGAGGAGATAGACAGCAGCAATGCTACCAAAGCCAGCAGAGCTCCTGTGGACTGCACTCTCCTCGTATTAGTCAGCCCTGCCTCGCAGTATCAAGCATCCAGTAGTCTGCAGTCTAACTGGAAAGGCATACAGATACACCACGACTTTTACTGCTTCTGTCAGGGGAGTAAGGAACAGCCTTGGAAACTTCCTAAAAGGCTTTGTCTTCTTTGTAAGGAAAGAGAGGACATATTTGACATCCAGCATATCAAGAGGCTCTTTAGCTTTAGAGGAGCAAGGCCCTAAAAAACCACAGGTGAGTTTATCTCCTGGACATTGATGAATTCAAGAATACTCAAGGGAGAAGCTTGTGGTTTTGTCCAAGAACTGCCATAACAGGAAATGGAAGAGTGAAATAAGGATTGGCTGTAAAGGGGTGAACTCAGTATCAAGGCCTCAAGAGAGAGGTCTATGTATACAAGCAGACCCTCCAGAGTCCATAGCTAAATAGAGTTATGCACCTTTTCCAGTGAGTGGTCCTTAACAGCCATATGGGGAGGTGTGAGCAGAGACCACCCAGTCCCACCCAAGCTTCCCAGCCATTGCTGTAGGGAGTTGGAGAGACAGAGAAGGACACTCTCTTGGAGGTGGTCATGCCCACTACAAGTTGATGGTATCTTTCTGTGGAGCAGTCTAATGACAATGTGAGAATATGTATCCTCGAAGCCAAAACAAGCCAATGAGGCGTTATCTCAGCCAGGTGGTATATGTGTACATCCTCAACATACAGTACACAAGGGAATGATCACAGGCCCCTCCACGTACCCAGCAAGGCTAAAATGTCTCCAGTGCAATGGGAAGTGAGCCCATTCACACATCACATGCAAAGACAGCAGGAACAAAATGACAGATGCTGGGCAGAGCAGTAGGAAAGCTGACAGCAAGCAGGAAAAGAGAGGGATGAGCTGATCAGGGGACGCAAAACACAAGCCAAACCCAGGTTCATGGGCAGAATGAGAATTGAACTAGAAAAAAAAATGACCAAAGGCTTAGCCACATTATCTACAGTTCATAGCAAGACCCAGTTTTAAATGGCAGGATACACAGCAGGAAAAAATGCAGTAAGATTAGAAGTGATTTTCCAGCTAGAGGGGGCAAAAGAGGGGGAGGCTTCCTTTCTCCAGCGCAATCATTTTTGAAAGTGTGAGGAGAAGACAAACAGATGCTGGCTGCAAAATTTTTCCAAATATGTATTAACCTTTGCAGTCGGGAAAAGCGGCCTGGACAGAGTGGAGAAGTCTTTGTTTAAATTACGAAGAGGGTATGACTGGTTTCCAGAGCTGACAGGAAGGCAAAGGTCTGGTTCTTCTTGTTTATTATTGAACCCAGGACTGCATAAGATGAAGAGGAGGATCTTGAGTGCAAAGCAACCCCCTTAGCCATGCATCTCCATTTTGCTTTCCTAGAATTTATCTGCAAGTTTCATCTGCGTAAATATTCTGTCCAAGCTACAGCCCAGTAGGCCCAGGAGCAGTTGGTGTGGTGCTTCACATGAGATCCCCAGAGGTTTTGTCTGCATTGTTTTCTTTTTCCTCAGTCCCTTTCTCTTTTCTTTCTCCAAGGGGCAGGAGAAGAGAAGGGGGAGGGTATGCACTGGGCAAAGGGGAAATCAATCCTTGTTCACACAGGACCGGCTGACTACCCTTCTTCTCTGCTCATTTATTCACCTTTCCTTCTGCACCCTGAAGCACACTGATGTTCCTCCCAAGCTCTTACTGCGAAACTCCATGCTCTGTGCAGTAGTTTAGAAGCTTAGGTAGTGGTTACTTAAATAAGGAGAAACAGCGGTGGGCCAATGTGCCACCCAGATGAGATGCTTTTCAGGGTGCAGTAAATCATCAGGTTCCTTAATACTTGCATAACCAATTAGTGGTCTTTGTATCACTGCAGCTGGTATGAGATGGTTTCCAGAGATTGTCCTGAGCTGATCTTCTCAGGAGTTCCTTGATTAATAAGTGCTGCAGGCTATACAACCACACCAACAACTGCCTCGATGCTGCCTCAGTGAAGGTGATGAAAAGACAAGACATCCTCCTGGCTCCTCTTACAGCTACAACTGAAAGGAGGTAAATTCATGGATACT